AGGGTTGTCAAAACTGAGCAGACAAAATATGGAGCAGATTTACACTGCAGCCAATCAGCTTCTCTCTCTCTCTCTCATTTTCAAATCTTACCTGAGCAAACTGAAGAGAGAAGCTGATTGGTTGCCATGGGCAACTGCACCAGATTCTGTTTGCTCCAGTTTTGATAAATTCCCCCCTGGGTGTTGTGCTGTTTGATATTTTGGTCAGTAATGAAACGATTGATCACACATTGCTATGTGTATGGCCACCATTCGAGGTATTGCCTCACTTTCTTTCCTGGTGACAGTGGTTTTACCAGACAGGAAGGGAGGGAGGGCAGATCTCTGACAGGAACACAGACATACACAAAATAACCGGTAGACCATGAAAACATAGATGAACAGTCAGGGCTGTACTAAGACCTCATGTTGCCCTAAGCATACATAAATGAGAACATACAAACTCCACTTGTGTCATGGAATTCATAAAAGCCAATTCAAAAATGCACTATGAAAGACTGCATGGGGTCTGCTTACAATTCACATTTACTTCTGACGTGCACCGATCACATGAGAAAGAAAAGATTGGGTCCTTTTGTTTCTGAACTATAAAGAGCCTTCTGACTCCTCTGAACATTCACCAAACCTCTTCAGTTCTCTTGTTAAACGTAACCACAAACACTCAAAGGTTGGCAAGAAAAAGGGGGTTGGGGCTCAGGTAGGGATCAGACTGGATATCAGGTTGGAGCACAGGAAAGCAGGGATCATACTAAATAAGGGGATGGGGGCTTAGGTAGGAAGCTAGGGTTTAGACTGCATATTTAGGATGGTGCTCAGGTAGGTAGACAGGAGTGCATGGTTTAGATTGGATGGGGCTGAGGTAGTAAGGTAGGGATCAGAACGGATAAGGGGGAATGGGACTAAGGTAGGGACCAGACTGGATAAAGGGAGATAGCGTTCATGTAGTAGACAGGAAAGCAAGGATCAGACTGAACATAAGGGAAGGGGTCAAACAGAATATGGGCAATAGGGGTTCAGTTGGTAGACAGGAAGGTAGGGATCAGACTGTATACCAGGGGATGGGGCTCAGGCAGGTACACAGTAAAGCAGGGATTACGCTGTGTAATGGGGATGGTGCTTGGGCAGGTAGACAGGACTGGACATGGGAGTCTGGAATACTGGATATGGGAGATGGGGCTCAGGTAGGGATCAGACTGGAGATGGGGCTCAGGTAGGAAATCAGACTGGATAAGGGGGAATGGGCATCAGGTATGGATCAGCAAAGGGGGGGGTGGCGCTCAGGTAGGGATAAGACTGGAGAAGGAGGAGGGATGGGGCTCAGGTAGAGATCAGACTGAATGAGGGGGGAGGGCGCTCAGGTAGTGATCCGATTGGATGAGGGGGCATGGGGTTCAGGTAGGGAGGCAAGGATCAGACCTGAAAGGAGAAGGCAGGGCACAGCCTGGCACTGAGAACTCACGAGTCACACAAAGGGGGACGCGTATGGGCGTGGGCACGGGGCATCTATAGGGAAAAGAGCAGGAGACATATAGAACACAGACAGTTTCGCATGGCTAGAAGCTTATTAGAGCACAATGCAGCGCTTGGATAGCTGGATTTCTTTCTTTACCGCTATGACGTTGACAAAGGTGGTCTTCCCCGAATACTGCAACCCGACCAGCGTCAGCTCCATCTCCTCCTTCCAGAAAAGGGACTTGAACCAGTCCAGCAGCTTGTTGATGAGGGCCAGCATGGTGCCGCCGAGGGACGCGGAAGAACTGTAGACTGGTTGGTGCTGCTGCCGCTCCGACTCCCGGAACCCTACGGCTACTGCACAGTCCCCGATCGGCCGCCAGTCATATGACAAGCGTGACGTCACGCCCCAACAACACCGGCTTGGTAATAGGGAGTCGGGAGAGGAAGGAGACACGAGACCGTATCACGTGACAATCGAATCACATGACGCGCTGTGTGCGTCCTCTTACAGCACAGGGCCTGGTTTACGAGGTGACGTGACGGGTCATGGTGTACTGTGGGCGATACACTGCTCTTACTGAGCCTCCTCTGTGCACTGCAGTATATAGGTACATACATGACATCCAGGAGCGGGCAGGGTGTTCAGCAGAGGGTTTCCACATTTATCTAAGTTTTACCCTAAGTATGTGTGAACTAGGTGTTTACATATTTTATAGCAGTGGTTCTCAACCTGTGTAACCTCAGGACCCACATTTGTCCTTGGTCATTAAGTCGCGACCCAAGACGCACTGCAATGGAACGCACAGCATTGCCATACCGTGCGATCAAACTGTGGGTGGGAGGTGTGTTTGGGGTATCATTCAAATAAATGGCAACGCAACATGTCTCCCGCTCCAGAACGCGTAATAGCTGTAATTGTGTGGTACAGTCACGCCCAGCTGCGTGAGGGCCAGCTGCCTATCTAGAGGCAAAACCAGCTGTACCCGTCCCCTCCCCCGTCCGTTCCGCCAGTCAGCGCTGGCGGGGAGGGTGTCACGGCAGAGAGCCGTGACAGGATCGAGAGGTGAGCGAACGCTGGTATATGCTCGCTCACCTCCCGATCTACTGAGCCTACCTGTGACAGTTTCATTGTCACAGGTCGGCTAGAACTGTAAAGTGAGTAAAAAGCACTCACCTCATAGTTCTCCTTTAAGTCACCCATTTTAAGACGCTTTAGTACAATCCACTGTATATGTGAATGTACTGCAGCGCGTCATCGGGGGGCTGCTAGAATAGCCGGCTTCCAAGTAAAGTAAAGAAGATGGCAGCACAGTTGTGCAGTAGATCACTACAGAACACCGCTGGATTCGCTAGGCATGTATATTTCTTTGCGAAAAAGGTAAGCGGGAATTGGGCAAAAAAACACATTGGGAGCGGATTGAAGTTCCACTATAAAGAATAAGTACACTTTTACTGTAGACAGGCAGAGTTCATTTATTCTTTTTTGTTCCCCACCTTGACCTACAGATCCCACCCTCCCCCTCCACAGATGCTTACTTAAAAATATCTGATACCCATGGCCTCATGTGTTTGTTAACTTCCCACTGCGAGTCCTCTTTCCTGGCCGCCCCTGTACAGTAAAGCCCCATAAAAGCCTATTAAGGTGCCCATACACCTTACGATTATGCGTACGATACCCGTATGCGATCGTTGTTTTCGTCCGATATTTGCAAGGTTGATGGGCAGTGTGCAACCGCACATACTGTACAATCGTACGACTTTTGTCTTTCCTGCATGTTCGAAAACTTCAGTCGATCGTACGATTTTCGCAAGGTTGGTGGCTTTTCCCTACGTCAAAAGTCGTACAATTAACACTGCTCATGCGCAAACGAAAATACGTGCGGTCGATTACCGCAATTCGTCCAGGTGTTTTTTTTAACTACCGCTGATTGAACCTTGCGATAATTGGGGCAGGATGAGGTCGTCGTACGACAATCGTATGACGGTTCGATCATCGGACGAAAAGTTTTGTCCGATAATCGTAAGACAAAGGTAAACAAGCCCCACAGAAGTCTATGGGGCTCTACCACACACGTGTGGCCAAGAGACAGAAAAGACTTGCAGGGTGGGATGTGCACAATCACTGGAGGGCTCAGGCTTCGGATTGAGGTAAGGAGAACACACAAAAGAAGCACCACTCCTCCACGGCTCTGGAAAGGAATGAGCCGTGTGCATGCCACTAGAAGCACGTCCTCGCTCCAATATGAGCCCATACAAAAAGAAGAAAAGCTGCCCACACACCGGATTCCACTGAGATCGTTTATTGAAGCTTGTACCACATCACTGGTGTCCTGGCCAAGGTTCGACCCCCCTGACGCATTTCACCCAATCACTGGCTTAGTCGTAGGTAAGTTTACATTGAGGTAAGTATACATCTGTCGAGGGGGGGAAAAGGATAAGCACATTCTGTTGTAAAGTGCACTTATTCTTTAACATTCCAAGTGTGTATAGAAGAAAGGAACCAATTGTGAGCTGCGTAGAAATGTCTTTCTTCAGGTTATACAATGATCATGGTTTAGGGTAATTTGGGCTCCTGCACCTCCCCCACATGACCCTGAAACAACACGGGTAGATGTCTTTAGCAAGTCAGTAACATTCCCACCACTATGACATGACTGTATGTCAGCAATGATAACCAGAGCTTAAGCTGGCCATACACCTATAGATGCTCTATAGATTTTCTATGGTCAGATGGAAAAAGTGCAACAGATTCCTCCATCTACGCTAAACTGTGTGGATGGAGGAATCTCCCGCTGGGCCAAGCTTCAGTATCTTGCTAGTCAGCCCCACTGGCTCTCAAAATCACTGAACAATCTGATTGGATGCAGGCATTGGTCAGTAATGCACTTTAAAGCTGAACTCAAGCCTTAGCTTTTCCCTCACACTTGTAGTAAGTGTTCTCCTGTGTTGAAACTGAATACTCTAAATTCCCATCTCCACAATATAACCCTTTGAAGTTGCAGCAGCTATCCTGAGCCTTTTCCTGTCTGAACAACCTCCATCATTGATCAATCATTTCTCCCCCCTGACCCGTACTGTCCTTGGCCCTCATGTTACAGTTATTAGCTTTTACTGCCATCAATCATTGTGTCCCCAAGGTTTATTTGAAAGAACACATTCCCAGCATCCCTTTAGACATGCTTGCAACCAGTCAGACTGCACAGCTAAAGTCTATGACACCCAGTAGCCATCAGGGAAAAGGCACATCTAAAGGCATCTCGGGATGTTTTCTTTCATATCATTCTTTTGTAAATGATCTGAGACAGAATGCTATGATGTTTATAGAAGCCTGTTGGCCCCTCGCAGCAAACTTGGTTCAAAGAGAAGCAACCCTGTGAACATAAACAGCTAAATGCAGGCACCCCGAGAGCCTGGACATATTCTTGTTTCCTCTGAGCTGTTGTGAGTGTCATGGAAGACCCTGAATCTGGGTTCACTCAATAGACACATACTATTTTCAGCTCTCTGTCAGATCTCTTCTGGCACACACCACCACTTATTGCATCCCACAATGCAATTCATTTGCTCTAATGACCTATAGAGAGGTATGTCTGTTGTTGTTGTTGTTTTTTTTGGAGGGGGGTTCTTGAATTCCTACTTTATAATTCACTAGTCAGGTAAGTCACTTATGTAGGTACATATAAAATAAAATGAAGTGACATGCATTGTCTTTTGTGTTATGACTCAGCTGAGTGACTTGCATGAGATTCTTGTATTCCTTGCTCATGACTCGTTCTTTCCTTTGAGCAATTTAATATTTATTAATAATGATTCCATTTTACTGCCGGTTTTTATTTCTTTGTTTTTGCTTTGCTCTGCTGTCCTTGTTGACCTTTATCAAAGACATACATAATTTCGCCCCACACCTAATAGCGTCATTTTGGAATTATTTACTATAAGTCATTGGTTGAATGATGTCGTAACATCATCCCCTGCTTGAAGTTGTACATCCCTGTCTGCTCATTGCTGCATTGCACTAAACAGGCAGTGATGACCAGGCTTGTTAAATAAAATGTGTACTGAGAGATATACAGGGGCTGCCATTGCTGAACTCCTTCCCTTTTCCAGAACTTTCTTATTCACTGGCATGGAACAAGCAGGCAGAACTCCTGATCTCTATACTTGCTCCAGGGAAGTGCCTCAGCCATCACAGAAGTATCACAGCCATCAGCATGACAGCCAGGCAAGTAGCATTTTCAGAAGGAGCATTTGAAGAAGAACTCCGGGCAGAATAAAACCGAACTCTTGCAGTGGGGCTACCATTGCATTGCAAGGGTTAAGTGTTCGTTTTCGTCTAGGGTCTAAAAGGACATATAAAGTTATACTCACGCAAACCTCGGTCCCAGTCCCTGCAGCCTCTCTCCCCCTCCTCTCCGGCGGTCTAAGGATCCGTGAGTCATCGCATCTAATACGGTATATTAGAAGAGAGGACACCGAGGGACATTTCTTCACTGGAGCATAGGAGGAGAGAGACTGCAGGGACCGGTCTACAAGCCAAGCAGGACTGAAGACAGGGTTAGAATATCTTTGTTACTTTAGACCCTAGACCAGGGGTGGGCAAACTCCAGCCCTCCAGCTGTGGTGAAACTACACATGAAAAAGAAAAAAAGGAGCGCAGCTGACTGGCACAGGCTGTGTGGATGGAAAAGTGACCAGGGAGATACTCC